GACGGTGGACGGAGGCCCCGACATGAATGACGAGGTGTACAGCTTCGTTGCCGACATCGTCAATTCAGAGGGTGGCATTGACATGAAAGCGTTGAGGAAGAAGCTGAAGGAGGACAGGAAAAAGCAAAGGGAGGTCAACGACTTCCTCAAGAATATCAAGAAAAAGGAGTCGAAGAACAAAAAGAAGGCAGCGAAGAAGCCGAAAGCCAAGGGAACCCAAAATGACGGAATGATCAACTAGAAGTTGATACTGACAGTGTTTACTTAAAAGTTACCATGGGCAGGATATTTACTTAAAAGTAAACTTGAGCAGAAAGTTTAATTGTAAGTTATTTATACATAAATACATAATATAATGTATAACGTGTTAGAAGTTTGTACACTGGAATCAGAATGTTCAATACATCATGTAGTAAATTGTGATGAACGGAACTATCAATTAGAACTTAATACAAAGTGGAGGCAGTTTGATTAATAAGAATTTAATGTGTACTTACAGATAAATTAAAATTTCATATAAACTGAAGAACGAATAAAAATATGAATGCTAGTATTTGCAAGCGTTTGATACGAAAGAAGGAGCAAACCACCTTCATTAATTTTTCAGCCAACAGGCACAAAACATGTTTTTTTTACATATGCATGTATTATTTGTCAGCTATGCTCTGTATAATTCTGGGCATGTACATTCTTGTTAAGATAGGAAATTGTTTGTACTTCATTTTTAACAATCATGGCTCAATGTAACTAGATTGCAAATATCCATAAAATGACAAGCTTGTCTTCAATTTGCTCATACAGTATCAAATTATCTTGGTAGACCTTTCTATTGCTTCCCTAAATTTGAATGACGAACACATGACTGAAAAAAAACTGTCTCAACTGTTGACGTATTTCCTTTTATTTTGTACGTGCAGTAGGCCTATATGGAGAGTACTGTAGGCCCTGAACTTGAACCTATGGAATAAAAACCTTTCTCTCTCTCTCTCCCTCTCCCTCTTTCTCAGCCTCTATTTTCTCTGTTTCTCTCTTCTTCTTCCCTCTTTCTTATCTCTCTCTCTCTCTATGTTCTTGTCATTGAATCTTGTGCATACATAATTTGTTGTATCATGAAAATTTTGAGAGAAAAATTTGGCATTCCCACCTTTGAACTTCAGCCTTTTCATGATGTCATCACACCTATTGATCACCTGGATTTTCATATAGATGTTTTCTATTTTTATTCTGACAAATTTATAAATATATACCACAATTGTTCAATAAACTATTTGCACACAAAGTTTTGTGTCAAGAGTGTGTGTGTGTGTGTGTGTGTGTGTGTGTGTGTGTGTGTGTGTGTGTGTGTGTGTTTGTGTGTGTGTGTATTTAAATCATTTTTATAGCGCCTACTCCTATGTGAAAAAAGCCCTAGGCACTTATACTTATACAATCCATATTATAACCCCAGGAAACCTGATAGAATCTGAAAAAATCTCAACTTCCTGGGAAGCATGCAGTGCCCGTGCATATGCACACTTAAAAACACACACACACAAACACACATACACCCACACACACACACATTAACAAACTCACACACACACATACCAGGTGACCCAAAAATACCTTTACCCAAAGAGTTACAGTTTATGGGCTTTCCCAGGGATAAAGGATTTTGGGGTCAATAGGCACACACACACACACACACACACACACACACACACACACACACACACACACACACACATAA